TTAGGCTAGCCAAGGAGGCGCTTAACAAGGTGGAGACTAAGTTAGCAGAGTTGAAGGCGGCCAAGGAAAAAGACGAATCTGAGGCTTCTACCGCATTTGAAACAGGAAAAGGCACTGCCTTCGAGGAATACGTAGATGAAGTCCCCAAGTTTGAGAATCGGGGATTCAAACATGGGTGGCTCAAGGTCCTTGATGCCGCTGGGGTTACATTGGACTTGCCAATTCCATAGGAGCAGGGTCAAAAGAGCAGGGCCGAGTTTGAGGTTATGAGAGCCGCAATGGAGACTGCGCGAGCCGAAGCAGAATTAGAAAGGGCTTGGTCTGCCGATCGGCTCCGTTCTGATGCCGAAGATAGGGCGAACGCGAGCAAATAATCGCTTAGGCTAGCCAAAGAGGCGCTTAACAAGGTGGAGACTAAGTTAGCAGAGTTGAAGGCGGCCAAGGAAAAAGACGAATCTGAGGCTTCTACCGCATTTGAAGCAGGAAAAGGCACTGCCTTCGAGGAATACGTAGATGAAGTCCCCAAGTTTGAGAATCGGGGATTCAAACATGGGTGGCTCAAGGTCCTTGATGCCGCTGGGGTTACATTGGACTTGCCAATTCCACATGAGCAAGTGGACGTTGAGCCACTTGAGTCTGACCCTGAGGATTGATCTGGAGGCATTCGAATTTTATGAAATGCTTTCACTTTTGGTGTATGTTTTTGTTTTAAGGACTTTTGTTGGTTCCGAATAGTTTTCATGTATAAATTGGTTACTATCTGCGCTCAATTTATTAATGAAAATTACCTTGTCATTTCACTACTACTTATGCGTAGTTTGTGATGTTGTATTGGCGAACAATTTTTGCCTTTCACTACTTTAGATAAAATGTTTATTCTGTTGAGCTTTCTAAGATTGAATATCTTGGCAATATTGACTTATCATTCATATGCCGAATAGTTCGTGGGTATTATGCTGGTGAATCCATTCATGGGCTGGCTGGGGCACTTAAGCCGAATAGTTTGATGAATGGCCATATTGACTTATCATTCATATGTCGAATAGTTCGATAAATCTGCCCTTGACCCAGGCAGTTCATGATCATTCGGGCGCCGGAAGAGACAAACTTAAGAGTTTTGAAGAACTGATTCATGGGCCGGCTGGGGCGCATAAAACAAATATATTGATGAATCTGCACTTAAGCCGCTTAGATTAATAAATCTGCCCCTGCCGTAGGTGGCTCATGGACATGATACGCCGAATGGGCGCATGGATTCTGCCCTTGCCCCACGAGGGTCGACTCAGTCGGTGCCAGGCGATTGAGGTTTTCAGAATTTAATGAGATTGCCTCAATGGTGCTGCCTCTGTAAAGGATAAAGGAACAAAGGTACAACTTTTATGAGCCTAGTGAATAACTGACTCCAGCTCTTGGAGGAAGATTCATCGTGTGAATGTCGAACAGACTCTTCTTTAACAACAAAGGGGAAACGAGGACGCTAGCTGAGCTGGGCAGAGATATGAATCGAGGTGGTGATCCTTCGCGCATAGGAAGTAGGAGTTCTAGGGACCGAGAGAGGCGTCAGTCTCCTCGACGTCGAAGCAAGTCGCCTAGGCGGGACAAGCAATCGTAGGGAAGATCTTTGCAACCCCGAGTCGAAAGGGGATCTGACGCGAATCCTTGCCCATTAAGCTTTGCGGTATTTGTGGGAAATAAACCCATGACAGAGGCGGACTCGATCGTTCGAGACCCAAACGTAGTGGTCGAGTTTGCTCGACAAATTTTTCCTCCTGAGGTTTAGCAATCAGTCAATGGTAGGTCGACAGGACTACGAAGTATTTCATGAAGGCATTCACGAGGCGATGAAGGGGCTTTACACTGCCTATGAAATTGGCATGCGGCTGCGCGCTGCCCGCCGAGAAATGGAGAGTAGGGAAGAACGTATTCGAAGTTTGGAAGCTCACGCGGAGGCGGCTGAGCGTGAGTTAAGGAAGGCCAGGGCGGCTCAGGCACAACCCGCCGAGCAGGGAAACCCAATCGTGGAAGAAAGGGTTATCTAGAGGCTCATCAGTATCGCGCTCGCCGATCGTGAGACGACGAGTATGTTCGTAATAGAGTCTGCGAATGGGAGGGCCTATGAAAAAGGTTTTCATGAAGGCCAAAAAGTTGGAATCGAAAAGACCAAGGAGAAGCTTGCCGAAGGTTTGCCAATGTGAAAATCGTGGATTTAGGCACGGTTGGATCAAGGCATCTCAGGCCGCGGAAGTTCTTCGAGCGTCGGGCATTGATTCGGCATCGCCACCCTACCAAAGTAAACATTTTCCGTTTTTCTGCTTTTGAAGTCGAGAAGAGTGAGGATGAGGGTGACGCTGTATAAGGATACTCATTATAAGGTTGAAACGCAGATTACGTTCAAAACTATGTAATTTATTGTTTGATTGAATAAAAACGTTCTATTTATAAATATTTCGTTGCAGTTCGTATTTGGCATATACGTGTTTCGCTTTATTGCATAAATGCTTGAATGAATGTATAAGCATTGATCGGCCCGAGTATCTGTTAAATGTCCTGTGATACGCCGGCTTATAGGCAAGGTCGGCCCATACGTGATAGCCGTTTAGTCTTGAATGAGGCCATTGTAATTGGGCCATTTATCTGTGATCGTCGTCTAGATAACTAGGTCATTGTAGCTTGAAGAAGCTGAAAACCAGTGAGTGGAGTGGTTGCGGCAAATTCGTCCCGGCTCAGGGCCTGGATGTTTGGCCGGTTGGATTGATAATTCTGTCCTTGCCCACCCAGTGCATGTGCTTCAAAAAGCCGTTTGGATAACTAGGCAGTGGTGAATGTCGACCAACGTTCGTCTCACGAAGTTTAACGTTAATGAAATCACCTCGGGATTGGGGCCTCGAGATCGCTACCAGTATTGAAAATAAAAGGAGTGGGCGCCTCGCACAAATAAACACGCTTGATTCCTCGGGGGGTGAGATAAGTAAGGGTGTTAGTTAGAGAAGCTCGAACTTCGACCGAGCTTGGTGTTGCAATGGATTGCAGCAGAGAACCCACCCGTATGGGAGGTAGGGTGTCCAAAAGATGGCATGAGTCTTCAAGTCGTCGAAGCTGATCGCCCCGAAAGGAGAGACAACGACCGTTGAGTTTATCCTTCCTTGTCCTGGATCTTTGCCTTGACATTTTCAATGGTATCAAGGGAAGTTTGGCAATGTGCAAGTCATGGGCTTGGGCACAGTTGGCTCAAGGCATTGCAAGCCGTGGAGGACTTCCGGGCGACAGGCGTTGATTTGGCGCTGCCGCTTTACCAACGCGTCTTTTTCCCTTTTTCGCTTTTGAGGTTGAAAATGGATATTATAATGTTCAAATGCGGGTTGCGTTTATGTAACTACTGTTTTAATCAAATAAAATGTTTCATTTCCAACGTTTGCGCCTTATTCTCGGCGTTTTTATATATTCAATTAGGCACCTCATTTCGCATATTGGCATATTTTGTTTCGTTCATGCGGACTTGTAATTTGTATAATAATTTTCGTATGTAACAAGGGGTCCATAAGATGTGCCCAATTCACTAAGTTGACGAATGGCATTACGTTCAATTATAATTTGATTCGGCTCAGCTTAGGTACTTGGCCGACCGACGTAATGAATCAGCTTGTGAGTGCAAGCTTTAGGAGCCGAATGGGGATATGATTTGCAGAAGGGGCTCCGAATCTGGAGGCTTATTTGAGCCAATCGTGATATCCACGAAGGGCGCTCCGAATCCGGAGACTTAATCGGCCTCAACGTGTCATGCATCGAAGGGGGCTCCGAATCCGGAGGCTTATTTGGCCCTAAGGTGTCATGCACCGAAGGGGGATTCGAATGCGGAGGCTTATTTGAGCCAATTGTGATATCCACGAAGGGCGCTCCAAATCCGGAGACTTAATCGGCTCCAACGTGTCATGCACCGAAGGGGGCTCCGAATCCGGAGGCTTATTTGAGCCAATCGTGATATCCACGAAGGGCGCTCCGAATTCGGAGACTTAATCGGCCCCAACGTGTTTTGTACCGAAGGGGGCTCCGAATCCGGAGGCTTAATCGGCCCTAAGGTGTCATGCACCGAAGGATAGTCTGAATCCGGAGGCTTATTTGAGCCAATCGTGATATCCACGAAGGACGCTCCGAATCCGGAGACTTAATCGGCCCCAACGTGTCATGCACTGAAGGGGGCTCTGAATCCGAAGGCTTATTTGAGCCAATCGTGATATCCACGAAGGGTGCTCCGAATCCAGAGACTTAATCGGCCCAAAAGTGTTTTGCACCGAAGGGGGCTCCGAATCCGGAGGCTTAATCGGCCCTAAGGTGTCATGCACCGAAGGGCGCTCTGAATTCGGAGGCTTATTTGAGCCAATCGTGATATCCACGAAGGGCGCTCCGAATCCGGAGACTTAATCGGGCCCAACGTGTCATGCACCGAAGGGGGCTCCGAATTCGGAGGCTTATTTGAGCCAATCGTGATATCCACGAAGGGCGCTCCGAATCCGGAGACTTAATCGGCCCCAACGTGTTTTGCATCGAAGGGGGCTCCGAATCTGGAGGCTTAATCGGCCCTAAGGTGTCATTCACCGAAGGGCGCTCCGAATCCGGAGACTTAATCGATCCCAACGTGTCATGCACCGAAGGGGGCTTCCAATCCAGAGGCTTATTTGAGCCAATCGTGATATTCATGAAGGGCGTTTCGAATCTGGAGACTTAATCGGCCCCAACGTGTTTTGCACTGAAGGGGGCTCTGAATCCGGAGGCTTAATCGGCCCTAAGGTGTCATGCACCAAAGGGCGCTCCGAATCCAGAGGCTTATTTGAGCCAATCGTGATATCCACGAAGGGCACTCTGAATCCGGAGACTTATTGGACACTATAATGGGAAGTGAATTGCACGATGGAAAAAGATGAGACTTTTTATTCCAGAAGTCAGCTAAATACAAGTATCAAAGCCCACAAGTCGGGTCAATGACAGAACTTTCATAAAACTGTTCATGCTAACTGCCGGCAGCCATGGATCTCTTCAACGCCACGGGCTGTCGGGAAGCGCATAAGCTGATGATAGGTGCTTGGCACGGCCTGCATGATATGCAACCAGGTTCGCCCCATGATGACATTATACAGCGAAGGAAGCTTTACGACCAAGAATTCAACCTTGACTATTCTGGAGCCCGCTCGAACGGGTAGTGTGATCTTTCCCAACGGATACTCTGGATTCATGTTAAAGCCAAATAACGGATAAGGTGCCAGAGACAGATCTGACTCGTTGATGCCGAGTTTGATGAGGGTCTCATAATACATAACCTTCGACGTACTCCCTGGATCTACGAGAATGCGTTCGATGGTAAACTGGTTTACGCATAATCTGATGATCAACGGATCAATATGGGAGATTGTCATGCCGACAAGATCAGAATCGTTGAAGGCAATACTCGGAGCTTTTTTGGGCTGTTTGGTTGGAGTATGTTGCTCTCGGGGGACTGGATGCGATTGATTTGTGTGCACGGTTAGAGGTGCTGGCTGGCTGTATATCATATGGATCACGCCAAGTGGAGGTGAATCTTGTCTTAAGGCTAGTGCCTTGGTTGGGTTGCCTTTTCTTATGTACTGTTGCAGCCAGCCATCTTGCACCAGTTCCTCCAGGTGATCTTTTAATGCGTAGCAACTTTCAGTTTCGTGGCCATGATCTTTGTGATACTCGCAGCGCTTATCCCGCCTTCGTGTGTCAGGAGGGCTTACCATCTTCGACGGCCATTTGAAGAATGAGAGATGTTGGATTTTGGACATTACCGCATTGATCGGCTCTGTCAGTTCCGTATATTTTTTGTTGGTACGTCTCGTGCGCCTGCTGTCGACTTGCAGTTGTTCATTCGTTCGGTGAGAGCACTGATCATTCGATCGGCGAGAATCCCGCCTTTTATCTCGTTTACCCCGCTGCCGTGGTTCTAGGCTTTGAGGCGGTACGAAACTTATTGGCTGAGCAATTTTAGGGGAGGCCGTTTTACTGGATACGCGTCCGGCTTTAACCTGCAAGGCATCGTCCTCTACCTTGCAATATTCTTCAACTTTCTTCATCAACTCCCAGACTGTTTTGGGGGGTCTTTTGGTCAAGGAACTGCGGAGGGCACTGTCTGGTTGCAATCCCATTTTGAAGGCGGTGATGGCCATGGAGTTGTTGCAAACGTCGTTAACAAGATTAAAGCATTCCTAATAGCGCGCCGAATACGCTCTCAGTGTTTCTTCAGGTTGAATTTGCATCGCTCAGAGAGAGTCTGCTTGTTTCGGTTGAACCTCGTTGGTGATAAATCTGGCCCTGAAGGACTTCTGTAATTGATGGAAGCTTTTTACTGAAGCCGGTTCTAGTTTGTAATACCACCTGACTGCCAGAGGTCCCAAGCTGCTGGGGAATATTCGGTATATGAGGGCCTCGTTGTCTACATGCAATGTCATGGCTTGCTTGTAGTGACGGATGTGATCGGTGGGGTCTGATTTTCCATCGTAGAGGGTAAATGACGGAGCTTTGAACTTCTTGGGCAGAATTGCCCTTGCAATCCGTCGGACAAAGCGATCGTTCTGATCTTCTTCATCCGAACTGTTTCTCCTGCGCTTATTCCTTGTTCGTAAACTTTTTTCGGAGGAGTTGGAGGTTTCGGATCGTCCCTTCTTGTCGGGCTCCGTGGATAATGAGTTGGAGTCACTATCAGTGTCCCTTGGTCGGGCTCGAGGTCGTTGTTCACCTGCCCTTGGAGGTCGTTCGGGATCTTGGCGCGCAGCTTCTCTGGATTTCGCTACTTCCAGGGCCAAATCTTGACGGAGACGTTCATTTTCAGCGATCATATTCTCCAGCCTCTGTTCATTCTACTTTGCTTGTTCCATAATTGCTTGCATTGTCTCTTGCGCTGAAGTCGTTGGTGAGTCGAAGTTCAAAGCGCGTCTTGCAGCGATGGTTTTCTTTCCGAGCATATTTGCTGAAGTAAGGTCATTCCTCTGTGTAATCTCGTCAGTGGCTACCGGAGGATCTTCGATTACGCCTTCCATGGATGTATTCGAGTATTCCCACAGACGGCGCCAATTGTGTGGAAATGGTTTGCAAATACCCTTCGGATCCTGGGAGACGCTAGGAGTCCTCAGATAGTCACCTGAAAGGAAATAAACACTCCGACGTGGGTGCCAGAATTAGCACTCCGACGGACAAGTCAGTCTCAAGCTCTAGGTTATTTGTATTCGAAGTTAAACAAGGAGATTCTTACCCTTCTTTTTCCTCCTTTTGTCTTTATCTGTAGTTCCTGTATTTGTACTCGTTTCCTGGGCCTCTGGGCTAGGGCCTACTCGTTACTCATTGTCCTCTCTCATATTCGGCTCCATGGATTTACGCTTATTCGGCCTATCTATTGTATTCGGCCTCCTGAGCGCGCCGAATAAAGCTGAATAGTGTCTGTTCTACAGAGTACACTCTTCCCGGCATTGCCAATTATTCGGCTCCCACACTGAACAATCAACTGAACTGACAGGCCATGAAATATTTGGACGAGTTAAATAATATTGGATTTTTTTGTCTACGAGCTATAATCTATTGGATGACCCCTACGTATAATAACAAGAGAATTATAAAGACGGTCTTCTTTTATTTATTTATTTTTATTGTCAATCATTCTATTTATTTTGTAGCAATCATGCTTGCCATGGGTTTGACTCTACAATTTATAAAAAAAAAAAAATTCACAAGATTAGGTGACGTTTGGATGAATTGACCCAGTTTTTTAAAAAACATAAAATTTATTTTAAAATTTTTCAAAACTGGTTTTGCACAAAAATTAAAATGACAGATGGTTTTCAAATTTCTTATTCTTTTTATTTTATGAAAACATGAAAATCAAAAGTAAAAAACTAAAGCGACAAAAAGTATAAACACAACAATTCATCCTGTGAGTTTGAAAGCAATCTAATGTTTTGATTTTTGATTTTTAATTTTTTGAGCTTACTTCTTGTACTTGCCATGAACATGTACAAGTAAGCACCTCTTAACAAATAAACCAAGCTAACAACCTAAAAAATTTAAAAACCAAACCACCAGTTAAATAACTGATGGAGTCAATATCGAACATCACTACCATATACACAAATAAGAATATATTCATCATGAAAATTCGAAGTTAGTTGACTGTGCTCCATATTGGAACAACAATTTTACCGACACAGAACTATACATAAAGCAAAAAGTAAATAGCCAAAAGTGTCTTTTCTAGTGCTTTTTGGCCAAAATCCAAACCTAAAATTTGATACAGATCTTACCCACTGTTCCCTATGTTATGTATAAGGTCATATGATCAGAGACAAAACGCTAGTTTATTAGCTTATTTAATTTATTTAGTTAAAAAACTTAGGTATTATTTGGTAAGTTTATTTTTTTATTAAAAAGTCTAAATTAGTTAAATTTGCTTATGTTAAAAAAACCCAAAAAAAAAAAAAAAAAAATCTCAAAAGGTTAAAAATATACAAAACGAATTAATTTTGTTATCGTTAGCTTTTGTAGATTTATTTTTAGCTAATAAACTAATTTTTTTAACTATCTCGCAAAGGAAGTCTCAATTGATATATGTGATTTGTAAATGATTGTGGTAGTGTTTGGCTTGTCTTTTCGAGAGACACTTTTTGTGAAAAAAGTTTCAAAAATTTATTTGGTTAAAAAAAAATTAAAATTCAAAATTACTTTTCTCTTTATTACATATCAATTAATCCCTTCTTTTTTTCCTCTCCTCTCTCATTTTTTCACATCTTACACATTAATCAATTATTTTTTTCTCTCACACCCATTTATTTTACTACCAAAAAAAAAAAAAAAAATTTCTAAACTCTAAAACTATTTTCAAAACATACAACTAAATAAATTTTTAAATTTTGTAAACTCTTTTCAAAAAATTATTTTTTAAAATTATTTCTCAAATACAAACCAAATATAGCCTGTGTATTTCAAAATTAATTTTTCAAGTCCAATGTGACCCTATGTTCCACATCAGCAAAATAAAAAACAAAAAATAAGAAATCGTATTTGGGTAAACTTTAATTGTAGAGCATAATTCACGTTTTAGTGACGGAATCGAGATTTTAATTTAGGAGGGATAATATTAAGTCAAATATTATAAATATTACTAAACGTACGCATGACAAAAAAAAAGTTTATTATCAAACAAATTGCATATAGATTGAAGACACAAAAATAAAAAAATAAAAAAATTATATATTTTAGTATAAAAGAGACGTTGATAACATTTTTGTTTTCATCAGTACGACTTACACATTTATGATGAAAAATGGACCAAGTGCTATGAGAATTAGGAAAACTTAATATAAATTTGTCAAACTTGTAGAGTTACTGATTTTTTTTTTTTCTCCCAATATTAAGGAATTTCAGTATAATTTATCCTTTAAAAAAAAAAGAAAATTGAATTAGTGTGCTTAGTTTCAATTTTCTGAATTTAGTTTTCTGAAAATTGAGTTTTTTGATTTTCGTATTTTTTTTTGTTTTGTTTTTAGTGAATATTTTTTAAATTTTAAGCAATTTTTTTTTTACTTTTTTAGATACACCTTACTTAGATGTATCTAAATAGCAAAATATTTGTGAAAAAATATTTTAAAAATTAGTAACTACACAAAAATACAAAAAAATGAACTGAATTTTCGTATTTTTTTTTAATATATTTTTGGTATTTAGTGAATTTTTTTTAAAAAAAAAATTCACAAACATTATTTTTTTTAATGTATTTATGTTGGGTGTGTCTTAAAAATTAAAAAAATTACTTAAAATATTAAAAAATTCAATAAAAACAAAAAAAAAAATACAGAAAACGAAAAAATAAATTTAAAAAAAAAGTGAATTCTAAACATTGTTGAGAGGGTATAACATGAATAAGCCCAGTCCAATAGACAGTTGGGCCTGGTCTATGAATACCCCTCCAAAATGATCTTCCTGTGTTATTCACATGAGTTATTCTTTCTTGGGAAAATTACCATGTAGTCTTATGTAGGGGATCTATTTCCCTTCTAATCTCAATTTATTTTTAATAGTTTAATAGGTCCACAGTTTTTTTAGTTTTATACCCAGAGGTCCCGTTTTTTATTTTCGTATTTTTAAATGACTGTGTTACCCTTTGTTTTGAGATCTATATGTACGTGAGAAATCAAATTTTTGCTTCGTTGAAAAAACGGAAATCAAATCTTCATCTCCGCGATCTCGATTTCTCTTCGTTGTGGCGATCTCATTGTGCTGTGTGGTCGATCTCATTGTGCTGTGAGGTGGATCTGGTTGTGCGATTTGAATCTCTGTGTACAGTCGATATCTTCGTACGTTGTCTCTCTCTCTCTCTCTCTGGTGATAGATATATGTATGTGTATGTATGTATCTGTCGATACATAGATATACATATATATGTATATATATATATATATATATTTGTCTGTGTATGTATGTGGTTTGTATTTGTCGATATATATGTATGTATATATATATAAGCAAATTTGCGTGATATGTGGTTTGTGTTTAGCGAATTTTGTTTGTTTGATTTTGATTTTGTTGATTTTGTTTGTCGTATAGTGTAATGTGTTTTGAAGTTGTATTTTGGAATTGTGAATTCTGGTGTTTTGATACTGATATGTTGTAAGTGTATAATTTTGCAGTTTTGGAATTGTAAATTGTGTACTGTTGTTATTGATATGTTGTAACTGCATAATTTTGCAGTTTGGAATCTGTGAACAATTGTTTGTTGGTTTCTGATTTTGTAGTATGGAGCGGTGTTTCATGTTAATGTGCAAATACAGTAATTCTTGTACTACTATTAAGATTAGTGAGGGATGCAGTTATGATGAAATTGTTGAGAAAATATGTGCGAAGTTCAAGGAGTTGAGTGTTGGTAACTTTTGTTTGTTTTTCTCTATTCCT